ATAATCCTGATACATTATTACAACTCGAATCTAAAACAAGACATAGTCAATCAATGCGGCATAGACAATCCCCATGCTCACCAAATAAGGCAACAAAGCCAATAACGTCTCAACAGCTACAACATAATCATAAAGCTAACAGCAAAATAGACACAGACATAATCCAGCATCCAATATAATCAGCATAACAGCATATAAATCAACTAAGCTCCGGCCTCTTGCCGCTTGAGGTCTCAACCCCAGCATTACCTGAACCTGAAATGGTGCCCCAAACGTGAGGTGAGATCTCTAAACAGAAATTTCAGTAAGACAAGAGGTCCTCAAGGATCTTCCACCCCAAGCTCACTTACATGTGCAATGTAAGTTCAAAAGCAATTTAACAATATAATTTGCAAAATAGTGCAATGCAGCAGATAATCATGTCATGTAGGTTATAACTATTCTACTGATCAGAGAAGTGCAGGAATACGTCTGTTACCCTCACAGTACTAGCCCATGCTGTATCAGCCCATGTTGTACCCACCCTAAAGGATCACCCCATGGCTTCCCTTTAAGGCAAACACCACATAAATATCATACAACAATTGCACTTAACAGCTCCATAGCATTTCAATAAAACAGTACATGAAAACACATCATGCATATAACCATCCCCCCATGGGAAATGGTGGAACCAACAATGGCTAAACAGATGACACGAAAGCTTACCTTGTAAGCTAGCTATCCAAACCAAGAGTCCGCACAAGCTCAAGGCCCATAAACATCACAATTACAATCTGTTCATACCATAATTAATCATCAATAATCATAGCTTAGATTACATTAAGTGATTAAGTCTTCTTTACTCGTTTTAACTCATTACATGTTGTTTCTGCAGGAAGTATTCAAATACTCCACGAGTAGTATTCGAATACTCCAGCTCTCCAGAAAGTATTCGGTTACTTTCAATAAAGTATTCGAATACTTTTAAGTATCTGAATACTTATCCCCCAGTATCCGAATATCAAACCTCACTGTATTCGAATACTTTCCAGTATTCGAATACTTCTTCAAAGGTATCCGAATACTTTTCTTCCCAGAAAAGTATCCCAATACTCCTGCAAGGAGTATTCGACTACCATGAATAAGTATTCGAATACTACACGAAAAGTATTCGAATACTACACGAAAGGTATTCGAATACTTCTTCAACAGAATGCAGAAATTCGAGCCAACTTCTGCATAATCTCAAATTTAAGGATTCAAAAGCGATTGGGAGTCCAATGACTCCCTAAACAGATAACCACCTATATGTTATGAACCTAAAAACACCTTTCTTTACTCAAAAGGTTAAAGCTTTACTTTTTAAAAGATTAAACAAGCTTTAAACTCCAAAAATGACAAAGAGTGATCAAGGTATACCTCCAAGAGGTTTAAACTCATAAAAGACTCCTCCTTGGAGCCTCTAACACAGTCACACAGCTCAGACTTCTGATCACCACGAATTTGACATCACAAGATGATGTCTTTCCCCACAAGCTCACAACTTGAAACTCAAAAATGCCACCACCAAGTGACTAACCACTCAAACTCAGAAAAACAACCCCAACAATCCTCAGAAACAGAAACTCAACTCAGAATCAAGGCATCTTCACCTCCTCACCATGTACTTCTAAGTGTTTACAAGTCTTAATGTGAAGAAATCCAAAGAAAAGGTGAGTTCTTGGCCCTCAAACAAGCACAAGGGTCCAAGCTCCAAGATAAGAGGCAATGGCTGAAGAGAATCAGCCCTCAAGAGACTCACGTAGCAGCTAAATTATGGCCTAGGGTTTTGTGCCTTTTAGCTTAAATAGGTTCACTTAAAATAAAACACACTATTAATATTAATAGCTACGTTTAGCATTTTAATCCCAAACTTAGGAATCTTTACCTACACAATTTTACAAGAATTATCATATTTTTATTATATTTTTCACAGCACCTTTCCGGTACGCGCTTTTCATAGCCAGTATTAGTTTCTGGCACCAGTTCTAATTATTTTAACTTGAAACTCATTTTACAAGTCCTATATATTATTCTAGGAATTATCATGCACTTATTATAATTTTCCGGGATACTTTTTCGGTACGCATTTATACTGACTAGCAGAACCGGTATCTGCGCTTTTCGTCAGAAAAGCGACTTTCAACATTATTACTCACTTACTATAATTATTAAAGCCTCATAATAATTATTAGGATCAATTATGGAATTATTTCCTAATTCTCATATTTAATTAATTAAGTTCCTTAATTAACGGTGCGGGTTCGTACAAAATTTATATGGAGCAACCTGAAGGGTTCCGAGATCTAGACCAAGAAGACTTGGTATGTCGGTTGAAGAAGAGCCTCTATGGCTTGAAGCAAGCACCTCGGCAGTGATACAAGAAGTATGAATCATTCATGACTGATCATAAGTTTGAGAAGACAGAAGCCGACCACTGCGTATTTGTGAAGAGGTTTGAGGCCGGAGATTTTCTGATATTGTTGTTATATGTTGATGACATGCTTATTGTAGAGAAAGACAAATCGAGGATAGCCGCCCTGAAGAAGGCGCTGAGCTCATCCTTCGTAATGAATGACCTCGGCCCTGCAAAGCAGATACTCGGAATAAAGATTATCCGAGATAGACAGAAGAAGCTACTGTGGCTGAGTCAAGAGAAGTATATTGAGAAGATTCTGAAGAGATTTAGCATAGACAAAGCCAAAACAGTGAGCACCCCCCTAGCCGGACACATAAAGCTGAACCAGAAGCAATGTCCGAGATCTGATGAAGACAAAGATGAGATGATGAAGGTCTCGTACCAATCCGCTGTCGGAAGCTTGATGTATGCAATGGTTTGCACTAGACCCGACTTGGCGTATGCTGTTGGAATGGTAAGCCAGTATCTGTCAAACCCCGGCAAAGAGCACTGGAAAGCAGTGAAGTGGATCTTCAAGTACCTCCGAGGTACAACCGACTTATGTCTCCGATTTGGAGAAGGCAAAGCCAAGTTGCAAGGCTACTCGGATTTTGATTTAGGGAGAGATTCCGACTCGAGGAAATCGACGACGGGATACATGATGAGATTTTCCAGAGGAGCTATCTCTTGGCAATCAAGACTTCAGAAATGTGTTGCACTATCTATAACAGAGGCTGAGTACATTGCCCTACTGAGGCAAGCCAAGAGATGTTGTGGATGAAGAAGTTCCTCATGGAACTCGGCCATGATCAAGACAAGTACGAGCTAGGTTGTGACAATCAAAGCGCAATCCATCTTGCGAAGAATTCGACCTATCACTCCCGCACTAAGCATATTGATGTGAGGTATCACTGGATCCGGGATGTGGTGGAAGGTGGAGAGCTCGAACTCGTCAAAGTGCACACTGACCATAATTGGTCCGACATGATGACAAAGCCGGTTCCAGCAAGGAAATTTGAAGACTGCTGTGAAGGAGCCGGGTTGATGCTGAAGCCAACGCATTAAAGTCGTACGGGGAGATTTTTTGGGCTTCCTCCTTCAATGCTAAGCCCAAGCCCATTGAGGGGTTTCCTAAAAAAAACCCTAACCCTAAATTCCACCTCCTCTATATATTCATTAGTTGTGGGTGGAGGCTAGGTTAAGAGGTCAGATGAGAGAGATTTGATATTTGAGAGAAAAATTGTTTGAGATTTGAGAGCAAAGCTTTATGCTTTGCATTTGAGAGATCTCTAGAGAGAGTTTGAGTGAAACATCTCTAGGGTAATTTGATTATCACCATTGTTGGAGAGGTTGAGTTAACCACCACATTGGTGTATTCTGATTATTTGTAACCATTATTTTCATAGTGGATTTTTGATCTGGACTAGGTCCCGTGAGTTTTTACTTCTTCATTGGAGAAGGTTTTCCCACGTTAAAATTGCTTGTGTTCTCTCTCTCCCATTTTTGTTTTGATTTTTTCGCTGCGCTGCCCGACCTGGTGAAATTCAGGCCGAGATATTGCCGAGATCAGGATCTTGTTGATTGACTTCCGCACAAAAGGCCCCTGAGCCGAGCTTGAGGGAACCGAGTTTTTCCCAACACGATTCAGTATAGAATACCAAATTGAACACACTCCTAGTAGTGGTGGTGTTGCCGAGGTAAAGAAAGAGGAAAAGGTTGGGGAGAAAGAGGGATCGGATGATGCATGCTTTTTCTTTTTCCCCTACTTCTTCACTCATCTTTAGCCGTTATAATTGTGTAATGTGGTTCTAAAGTTGTATTTGGTTGATAAGCCTATCCTAATTAGAATCGCGTGTTTTACACTTGAAATGGTTCTAAATTTCTAGTTGGTGGGACCTAGATCAAACATTTGAAGTAGTTATGTATAAAGTCTTGCTTTCAATTGCTGTGCAAATTGCGAGTGTGTACTGATTCGGGTAATTTGAAAATTTTCCGATTGTTTATCTTTCAATATATTTTGTTATGCAGGACGGGCTCAGTCTCTTTGATTAATTGGTGCAGTCTATTCAGCTTTTGACTAGAATATGTTCTCAATTAACTCTAGAGCTGCTGAGATGGTTGAGCAAAGGGTGTAATGGAGGGAAAGGTGGCCAACAGGAGAAGGCACAGGTTAACAACTCTTCCACGGGAAGACAGCTCTATATTTAATTGCATTTTTTCAAGAGTGCTGCAAGTCACCCTGTTTGAGCAAAGACGCTAGCAGTTTCAAACCGTTTATTGCAAGCACGATTCTGGCAGATTTTTTATTTTGCAAAAGGTCCAAACCGTGCCTAATCACCAACCAAAATAAAAGCGGGGCAGCGATGATTGGTGATGCTATCTCAATAGAAGGGTAATCATTTTGATCATTTCGCATAAAACACTCTTATGGCATGATAATGTAAGAAATCCACCTTTCCATGAAAATGGAAGTGAGACAATTGAGCAGAAATCATTTATATGCGAGTGTTTTTTTTTCCTTTGAAATCTTGCGCTAAACATAGAATCCAGCAATTCAACATAAAGATTATCAGGAATGGAAAACAAAAATGCAAACCAAATACCATGTAAATCTTATTTCTAAGTGTTTTTTTTTTTTGGCCTGCCATGCAAAAAGATGCGCACATCAAGTTTGTAAACAACCAAAAAACTGGCAAGAGAAATGGAGTGTACACAGTAAAGCGTATCCCTTCCAACCACATCAAATAAAAAAGCATAAAGTAAGGTTCCTTCTGGCATAACCCAGAGTAAAATGAAGCCAGTAATTCTGTGCAATCACCAAGCATTTTTACCCTTCCCAAATTCTAAGGATACAATTATATTTTACTAGCAAAGGAAAGACCTTCCTTTGCAAGTTGATCCACATCCTCCACCGGAGGCTGGACCTTTGCAACTTTGGCAATAGCCTTGTTCTCCTCAGGAGTTCCACTCTCCAGAAAGGCCCCGACAACTTTCCCATCTTTAATCCAGTATGTCCCAAACTTGGGCTTTGATGACTCCGGATTGTTGTCTCCGAATAGCACTGTGTCACCAACATTGTCGCCATAGAATTGCCAAGACAGATCAAATGAACGGGAATAGAAGTATGGAAGGTAATCATACTCCTCAACTGTTTTTCCATCTTCGGCTGCCTTGATGGCCTACATAAAATACGTTATCACAAAATGAGAAACAGCACCGGCAAGCATGACTCTTGACAAGAGACTTCCATTTGAAGGACCAGGAAAAAAAAATAAAAAATAAAAAATTGAGCATATATCTACTAAGTTGCTTGAGAAACCACTTAATGTTTTCAAAACTGGATCAGGGTCAAAAGCGCATGCCAGCGCCATGATATATTTGTGTTTCGCGCATAATTGGAGAAGTTGACATATCTAGGGAAGCTTCTCACCTTTACAGCCTGCTCAGCTGATTTGCGAGAATGATCAACATGCTCAACTCTTCTCAACTCACCGTACAATTTCAAAGGGAAAGTAGCAACATCACCAACAGCATATACATCAGAAACATTTGTTTTGAAGAAGGAATCAGTCTGCAACCAAAACAAATGCCATCATTGATATCAATAACAAGATTCATTAATCAACAAGCCTCTGGAGGTATCACTAACCTTGATTCCACCTTTCTCCTCTTCAACCTGCCCTTTGAATAAGGATGTTTGAGGCCTTCCTCCAACCCCAACAACAACAATATCAGCATTCAGGACCCTGCCATCCTTTAGTTTTACTTCTTTTACCTGAATGATGGATGAAAGTCATACCCAGTTTGATTAGGAACTTTAAAATGCCATCCCATCACATTGTTCCAGGATCACATACCTCTCCATCAGAATTAGCAGTAAATCCAACAGCAACAGTTCCTTTGATGATATTGACCCCCTTATTTGCATAATATCCCTCATAGAATGCAGCTATACCAGATGTAAAAAGTCTTGGCACTGCAACATCAGTTTACAATGTAGTTTATAAATTTGTAAATTAGAATATATATATATATATATATATATATATATATATATACACACACACATACAAATCCGTAATAATTAATAAATACATCATAGTAGTTAATTGCGCCGCAATAGCGCCGCGAGCCGCGCTGTATGGGCGTTGCAGTGCCTCTTTGCAAGAAAGAGCACCGCGTCGCACCAGAATGCAATAGCGACCATTGCGATCGCATTTGCGTACATATTGTTGTCATAAGGCAAAATATCAATTTTGTCCTAAATTTAAATGTGTAACAGAAATTTTTTAAAGGTTTTTTAATCTATCTGCTTCTCTCTTTTTTTTATCTCTGCCTTTAAAAAATGTTTCTTTTTATTATTATTTCTGCCATATATCTATTCTGCAACCACAACCCGCCATAGCGCTATAGCATTTTTCGGAGTTGGCCGCGACATGCCGCAATCCGCATTTGATAACTTTGAAATACATGACTGGGAGGTGTAAAAAGAAATATTTATAAATATCCACTTACTACACCAAGGCTCTGGGTAGACCATGGTAACATCAATATTGTTTAGTCTTAACACTGCACTAAGCTCCAGACCAATGTATCCTCCCCCAACAACCACAGCTTTTCCATTCTTCTTTGATTTGATAGCCTCGTACAATTTGTCAGCATCATCCACCTCCCTCAAATAAAAGATGTTTTTAGCATTAGCTCCTTCAACACCAAAATCTGTCAGCCTTATAACCTGCAAAACAATTTGATTAGTATTAGTAAGAGCCAAAAGGATGGGAAGCGTGGATAATGAATGTAACATCTTCTAAAATATCCACAAGGATCCTTACTGTTGAGCCTGTTGCAATAATCAAAATCTGGTAATTGAATGTCTCTCCTCCTGCGCTGGTCAAGGATTTTGAAGCAAGGTCTGCTTTTACTATTTCTGTACTAAGAATTAATTCTATCCCTGCAATCATCAGTTCAATTCGCAATTTTGTATGAGAAATCTGTTGTTAAGCCCCATTCTTCTATTTACTTTTCTCTTCCTTTTACTTTTCACAAGAGCCCAATATTGATTCTTAATACCATCCAATAATAATGCTGAACTAAAATAATGGAGTGAAAGCCGAAGTCACCTTTCTCTTTGTACCACTCAAGAAGCAATCTTTCTCCCCCACTTCCAACACAGACATTGAACCCAGGAAGTCTAGCAGGGGCTGCAAAATCCAATTGTGACATCAAGTTAAATATTCAGTGAGACTAGCAAGACAAGCCGATATTTAATGTTCAATAGAGAATTCAACAGAGATGACAAGCCGATATTCAATAACAATAGATATAGCTTTCACTAAGTTCAATTCAACAATATAAAATTGTAAGAAATGCAATCAAAAGAACAATAATACAACATTGATGCTACCAATATTTAACCCGTAAATGGGATGGGAAACCATAAAAGAAAGAAAGAGGAAAAATAATATATGTACGTATAATAGCATTACAAACTTACACTCTGGGAAAAGGTAAGCCTTGCTTAGAGCAGGACGTTCATACGGTGCTACCTGCGCAAACATATAGTAAATAAGGGAGTATGTAGCAAAACATAATTGCATGAAGTTCAAGTGACAAAAATGCGATACAAAATTTGAAAAGAAAAATGTACAGAGAGCAATAAGGGAGATACTAAAAAAAAGAATATGGGCATTATATTTCTTTCACCTCCTTGACCGGTGGAAAATAACAACCAAACACAGGAATTGAAGGAAATAGCGGTAAGACAGCAAATTTGATGCGTTGAACTGAAAACAGAATCGTTTCTAATTGTGAAGCACATTGAGAATTGTTTGTTCAATGTTTGAAACGTGAATTGCGAATCGTCATTCTCAGAGCAGATGGATGGCTTCCTGAGCCAAGGGGCAGTGTGTTGCATGGGCCCCCACGGTACAGTAACATATTATACAATTTAGAAACACATCTATAAAAAACTAAGCTATACACGATTCAACACCTAAAACATTAAGAAAATGCTCAAAATCTCAAATAATGCTTAAATTTCACATGTCTTAAGGTCAAAGTAAACTCCAACAACACCATAATGCCATCATAGGCCAAAAGTCATATGTAAACTCATAAATCATAATTTATAATCTTTCTGACAACATCAACAATACTTTTATCCCAAACTAGTTGAGGTTGGTGAATTCATAATCTTTACGTGTACAATAAAGTGATAGTTCATCCTAAATACACTACCATTGCAGATATTGGACGACAAATACATTTGATGTGTAATATATTGTCTATAGCATTATAATGTTCTCATGTAACATCCTTCTTCCCCTTTTACTTAGTATTAGGAGCCATATAAAGTAACTGTACGAAGCCTATGTTATAGAAAAATGAAAATAAAGCTATTATATAACCAAATAAAGTCCGTATAGAGTGGGCGAGTAATTGTTAAGCATCAATAACAGAAGATTGAAAATATAGCAACGGAGCAGTCAAATAGGATACGTAGAATGAAAAAGTGAGTATGTGAAGGCCCTATTTCACAAGAATAAAAAGTGCAATGGAATAATCAAGTAGGGTCTGTTAAGTAGTGTTCCTTCAATTCCTTTTCATTTCAGAACTTAAGCTTCTTTGACGTTCTCTTATGAGAATTGGTGAAAGAAAAGCAAGAAATTTTCTTTCAACAAACCGAGGAATTGTGCTATTCCTTATCATGCATGTATTGCACGAATATCAGAGATTTATCACATGATACAATTTGATGGCTTGCCGAATCATGGGATTCAAATAGAGAACCTTGCAATGCTAAAAACTATTCAGAATGTATTAAACCATAGAGGATAAGTTAAAATTAGTGACCTGCTAGGAGGTCCAAGGTTTATAGGGAAATGGACTATCACGATCAATTTGCGAAATGGAAAAGCAGAAAAAACCGTTCATGAACATTAGAAAAGCTAATTTCATACAGAGAAGAAAGGAAAAGAGTGTCAAATTAGAATGTTATGCATTCATAAACATCAAATATATGACGCAATGCGCAGTGCACATGAAGTATACCGCTTCTTTGGATATGATTGCCAGCTCCCCTGGCTTAACTCCCTGTTTAGCAAACTCCCTTGCTGCATAACCCTGAGATTTTAAAAAGAAGTTAACTACAGTATCCAAAAATCAAAATATGACAAAATTCAATAACAAAAAAAAAAAAGGTTTTCTAGCTAACGGAGCTAATGATAACAGAATAAATCAAACTAAAATGCGTAAACAGAAATAAGAAAACCTCTTCAGAACGATCAAAGTTTTAACATTTTATCATTATGCTAAAAACAGAAATTCAACATCGTAAACGCAGGAAGTGAAATGAAATACGACTCTACCTATTCGTAGTCCTATAACGGAAATTCTAAAAAACTGTTCTCCGATTCAGTTAGTAAATTCACATGGATCAACCAGAACTCCGATTTAAACACAAATTATGTTAGAATTTCAAAGATCCAGTATAATCCAACACGAATCAACAGCGAAAATAAGACTTTAGATTAAAGGCAAAATCTGAGAGTGAAAAAGTGAAGATGGAAAAGAGGATGTGAAACTAACAGCGGAAACTCCTCCTCCGAGGATGACGTACTTGAAGGTCTTCGCCATTGAAGTGAGAAACGCTGTTCTTAGCTGTGTGTTTTAAGAGTCACTGGAAAGTGAGGTCTCGTGATTGGTCAGATCCTATTTATTGGGTTTCTCTCTGTTTTGGTTTTTGGAGGTTATTTTGGGAAACGCAGAGTCTGAAAGGAATCGCGTTGACGTGGCTGCTACCAAAATCATTTATTTATTTGCAGTGCCCAAAATTGGGAAATATCTATGGTACTACTGCTGTATCATTCACTCAATGCATCTATTCAATAGAAAATAGGGAATGACTATCATGCTTTATGAAAAGGAGAGAAAAATATTTTTTTTATCCAAGTGTCACTTGTTAAATTGCAGATGTACCTATTACAGATGTACAGAAGATGTTCTCCCTAAATTGCTATTTAAGACGCAGACGGCAGACATGACGCTCCACGTCATTCTAGAATTTGGGGAAAAAAAGAAAACACACGTAAAAAAAATTATTTCAATACGAGAAAGTTATACTTATAATATTTTAGCCTTATTATTATTATGGATTGATATTTTTAGTATCAAATGATATAAGTTTTGTCATTTTAAGAAAGAAGTGGACACACCCAATGGGTGCAGCTCAGTTGGTAACTTGGCGCTGAGTTAGTGGGGTTGGACATGTGTTCGATTCTTGCTGAATGCATTCTTGGGGAGGGGGCTGAACCTTTAGCCATCACTGATCTCCCGCACTCCAGATTAGTCTCATAGCCGGCTCAAAGAGTCGAAGCTCGTGGGGATACCGGAGGGAGCCAACTCGCCTCAAAGAGGTAATTAGGGTTGGGTAACTCCAAAAAAAAAAAAATAAAGAAGTGGACACAAGAAATGAAAATTATGGGAGAGAAAGTGAGTGGTTTTTTTTAATTTAAATTTTAAATAAAAAATATTTTTTTGTATTTATCTCTTTTTTAAATAATATAACTTTATGTCATTTAAAATGACAAACATTTTTTTCTATTATTATTATCTTATTAGTTATTGTTGGATCAATTTAAAATTAATGACTAAAAAATAAAAAAAATCCAACGATAATCAATCAAATAATAAAAAAATAAGACTAAAATGATAGTAAATATAATTGTCCCTTTAAATATCATCAATCAATTCATATTTTATCTTTTTTATGTATAAAAATATCAAGAGATAAGGTTATACAAAAATTAATGTCATGTTAATTTTTTGAAGTAATAATTGATACTTTTAAATGAAGAAAGTAATAATTATTAATTCTTGCGTAATTGTTTACAATATTTGACTCTAATAATATTTTATTATATTTTTTTAGAATAAAGATAGTTAATATGAAGCTTATTTGATAAACTTTAATTGAATTGAGACAGATTAATGTGTAATTTAAAAAATAACGTGCCAATTCGCCATGTATTCCATCTTCAAAGTCAAATTGATCGATCAAATTCCTCATTTAATTTATGTTATTTTATTTTATTTTATTTTTTGTTATCAAAAAAAAAAAAAAATAACATAAATTAAATGAGGAATTTGATCGATCAATTTGACTTTGAAGATGGAATACATGGCGAATTGGCACGTTATTACATCCAGGTTCATTAATCACACAAAAGCAAATATTTATAAATAAATCCTTATAATTATTAGATTTTTACTATAACTTACAAAATCTAAGTATTTGAAATGGATGTTTCTGAAAATATTTTTGAAATATCTTAATCATAGATTTTTCTTTATGTTAATTATTTAGATATGTATTAAATATTTATCTATTAAATAAAAACTCTTTGGTGATAAATATCGAATTTAAACAACCTACCGATATTATTTAATAACTTGTAGCATTAATTGTTTTCTAACATTTCGTTTGATAGTCAAATTGCCGTCATCTCGGCCTCTTCGTTTGTCATATACAGCCGAAAGGCAAGAAAAGATGGTAGATCTTATTGACGTCATCCGTGATGACAATTGTATCTTATCTGAACCTTTTTTTTTTTTCCCTAACAAGAATGCAAGACAGTGAACAAAAATTTTAAATTAGTGGTTATCTAATCATAAAATAATTATATAAGCACTACTTCCAAATTTATAGTAATGTACGTACAGCGGGGAAAAACAAGCTAAATAAGGCAATGCAACCCTAAACTTCGATTGCAACAAGAACCAATATACTAACTATAAAGCACCCGAAACCCAAAACTTAACATAAACTAGAGTTTAAAAATATCAACTACAAAACATATTAGAGTTGCCTTATTGGTAGGTATTTTTATATATAAATAAAGTTTTAAAATATCAATTTCAAATAATTTATTTGTATTAATTTATATCGAGGGACTTAAATTAATTGTATCAAAAGGTTTTAAATTAATTGCTACTTAAAATAGATACATATTTTAAAGTAATATTTTAATAATTAAACTTAATAAAAAATCTATTAATTGATTTTCATACTTTTCAACCTTGTAAACAATCTCAAATCACTATAGATAAATCAAATGGAAGTGAGCCCAATTTAATTAGATCGTGTTAATTTAAAATATATTTAAACTTTGGAAAAAATATTTATCCTTTTAAATGACACAACTTACATTCTTTTACTCTCACAAAGAGGTGAGACCCACACCTTTATTTTTTTTTTGTCCATTTTTTCTCCTCCTTTATTTATCTCTTTCTCTCACTTAAAATGACACAACTTTACATCTTTTAAAATGACACACACTTTACCCTTAAAGTTTAATTTTAATAATTCAAAGTATATATCTTTTGAGTTGACTGATTGCATCACTCTTTTGATGATGGCCCTTGTCTACACTTGCACCAGGTCTATGAAGATCTTAAACATAGGCAAAGAGTTCACTGAGGGGGCGTTGCGTTTGGTTGAGGAAAATTTTTTAGAATAGTAGAAAAATGTAATAGATAGAGAAATGATTGGAAAGTTAAATAAAGTGAGATAGGTAGAAAAATGTAAAAAAAAATTGTTTGGTGGGGAAAAACTTTACTGGAAAAATTAGGTAACTTTATGAAATCAACAGTGCATTAAAAGTGAGATAACCGGTTTTCTAAAAAATCCCACCTTCAAATTGAGTTTCTAAACAGTGCGAATATCTATGTTTCTCATAAATCCATACAAATTGCATAGATGAGTTTTTGGTGAAAATATGTTGAAACAAACATGATTTTTCTAAAAGCCATACATGAGAAACATAGATATCTCTTGAAAAGCTCCAAACCAAACAACACCTAAAAACATGCAGTTGCGTAATGAAATAAAACATCTATCTTCCAAATAGTATTTGACTGTCGAAAAGATAGAGTTCTCTTAAAATATTGTAGTGATATCTGATCTCTATTTTCAAATAAATCACCAAAAAAGTATATATTATTTACTGAATTAATTAGGTATAAATTAAGAAAATGTTTTAATATATAATTTTTAATATATACTTTCTACCAAAGATGCATAAAATGTAGATACTGTCAAATAGAAGATATTTGTGTATACGTTAAATGGAGGAATGTTCAAAAAAATATTTGTCTTGCCAGGCTCTTTGGGAAAAGTCCGAGCGATTAGACACTAGATGCAGCGACTCAGAGGGCTATGCAGCTCAGGCAACGATTCATGTGACGTAGTCAGCAGTCATTCTAGGAGTACATGTGCGCATTAAGGCTGCAGAGTTTTGACTAGAGAAGTACTCTGGCTCCGAGGATGATGACGGTGCTGATACCCCAGAGAAGAAAGCAGAGGACTGTTCACTCATTACCTCAATGCTAATTTTATTTTCATTTCTTTTCGTTTTTATTGCCCTTTCGAGTTTTGTGTATTGAAACTAGTTCCTCACATTAGTTGTATTCTTCAACACTTCTTATCATTTTACATGCACAATCATTTTCTTTATTTCCTGTATGTGTAGATTATTCTAGTTTTCGGCATCTTCTGGCAATTAATTAAATCAAGAAGATACCAAAAAATAGAATCATTTGTGCATACCAGACGCATAAACAAAGAAAACAATCGTGCATGTAAAATGGTAACAAGTGTTAAAGCATATAACTAATGTCAGGAACTGGTCTCAATATACACCAGCAGAAGGGACAATAAAAACAAAAGCAATAAAAATAAAATAAACACTGAGGTATTGGGTGATCACTCCTCTGCGCCCTCCTCTGGGGTATAAGCACCGTCATCATCCTCGGGGCTGGAGTACTTCTCTGGTCGAAACTCTGCAGCCTCAGTCCAACGGTCCCGACATAGATTTGCTATCCTCGCGCACATGTACTCCTGGAATGACTATTGACTATGCCGCATGAATCATTGTCTGGGCTAATTTTTTTGTTTTCATCCTAAAGACCTCTTTCCTTTGGATCTAATCATTATCCCGAAATAATGAATTCACCTGCATCTCCTATTGTGTCTATCTAATTGCTCGGACCTCATCCCAAACAGCTTGGTTGTCACCCTCGCAGTGGGTAGTCTTCCCTTTGGGCTGACACCCTGATCATGTTGGCCGCTTAGAGGGCCCTACATCTTGCTGAGTGGTGGAGGCAGATGGAGGTGGCTCTTACATATAAAATATAAAATATCGGCGGTGATCATAGGGTGAAGCTGGACCTTCTCCCCATTAGCGGGTATCGCAACCTCAGCATCCTCATCAGTGAGTTGTGGCCTAGGGTCCCCATGACCGCATTAGACTGTGTCATTTCATATATGTTGTCCACAATGATGCTAGACACAACCACAGGCTCATTGCTCATGATTTTATAAATCAGTGTCGCCCTTATCACTGCTACCTTGGAGCTGTTGGAGGTAGGAAGAAGGTTACTCGCTATAGAGTGGTACCAAACTTGGTGATCATCTTAGGTGAGTCATCCGCCTTGGGCTCAAAGGGAATGCGATGGTATGTGGTATGAGTGCAACAATGCCCATGGGGTCCCAAGTCTCCAAACTCCTCTAATCAGATAGGCGCTTTAGCTACTACATAATACGTTTGTAGCTACACTACTGTCTAAGTCCAAATGTCTTCTGCAATAGGCTCTCTATAGTCTAGGGGCAATAAGATATGATTTTCCCCCTAACATAGCTGGTGTACT